TCAACTCTTCGAGGTGACGCAGGTATTGTACACAGGTAAGTTGGGGAACTAGGGATCGAGCCCTGGGATCTACCTCAGCTACCACGAATTGGTGAATACCGTTTCACTCCTCTCTTCCTTGTGTTTAACACCTCTTCCTTCACTCTGCCTCTTTCCCATAGCGTGCAAGTGGGCTGTTATGACATACGGGGATGGGGGCAGCTTGCGCTCAACTTCATCAACTTGGCGAACCTTGTACGTTAGAGGCATAGTGGAGGAGGCGTTAAGAAGACTGAGAAACTGAATGATTTCAATGTGTCTTTGTTTTTTATTTTAATTTTTAATCCTTTGATTCAGTGTAAATTTCTTGTAAAACACTGAAAGAAATAATAATACTGTGAAACAAAGAATAAGAGGACACTGTTTTGTGTCATTCTGGTTTGTCTGTCTCTTTGCCTGTCTGTCCTTTCATTTTTCTTTTCTTTGCTCATCTTATTTCTGCTTCTACTGCACGTGCTTACGCTTTTACTCGATAGTTCTGTGACAATATATATGAGTCGGCGAAACTCCGGCGAAACAGTTTGTCACAGCCCCTCGTTTGTTGCCCTCTTCTCCCTCTCTGCCTACGGTTTACCGGGCAGCTCTGTATATATATATATATATCGGCAAACAGAGCTGCCCGGTAAACCGTAGGCAGAGAGGGAGAAGAGGGCAACAAACGAGGGGCTGTGACAAACTGTTTCGTCGGAGTTTCATATATATATGTGTGTGTGTGTGTATATATATATATCGTCACAAACAGAAATATTATGATGAGTCGGTGAAACTCCGACTAAACACCCCTCGTTTGTTGTCCCCTTCTCCCTCTCTGCCTACGGTTTACTGGGCTCTGTTTGACGATACAATATATATTCTTCGAAAGTTGGCAGTGAGCTAGACTTCCAGTTTGGTGCCAAAAATAGAGACAAAATCCACCTTGGACTTCCCAGTTTTAAGGCCTTGTGTATGGATGATGAAACCTGTTGCAGGTGTGCCAAGTTAATGTTCTCCCCAGAATGTATCGAACCTATCGTTCCAGGTCGATGCTGACATGCTGATGGTGCTGGGGGTGTAACGGAGAGATGGTAGTTTGATTTGGAAGATTGGATGTGGGAGGCTGGGCCACGTTAAACTTTCCTTTTTTGGAGAAGAAAACCAAGACGGAGGCTCAATCCGGTTTCTTGGCGCACCTCATCATCCTGTTGTCCTCCGTTCTTATACGGCTTGAGACGCATGTGATGTATCTGTGAAAGTAGGCCCTGGTCTACATCCTGCTCTTTTTCATGCACTGACTTGTGAGATTATGACTGACTATTCGGTTTCGACTTGTCATGCAGGCAAGCTTTGAGGCCATGATTTGCCTGCTGGAGAATTACAAGAGCATTGTCGCCAGAGAGGTAAGGTCACTGGGACAACTTACCTGAAGTTGGTAAACTGGGGGGGGTGGGGGGCGTGAGGGGTGGTAACAGACACACACACACACACACACACACACACACACACACACACACACACACACACACACACACACA